CCATCCATCTCCAGAACTTTTTCATCTTCCCCAACTGAAACTCTTGTCTCGTAAAACACCAACGATTCACCCAGTCTCTTCCTCCTCCCTGTTCATAGCAGCTATTATGAATAATGTGGTTATGAGCTTATGTGTGCAAAAATCTGCTGTAGATCCTGCTTTTCAGTTCTTTTAGTTATGTTTGTAGAAGTGGAATTCCTGGTCATTGATAATTCCATGCTTTATTTTTTTTTGAACCGTGCCATTTCCACACTAGTGCATAAGAGTTCCAGTTTTTACAGACTTGCCAGCACTTGTGTGTGTTTTTTTTATAATAACCATCCTAATGATGGGTGTCTGTTTCTTTGTATGAATAAATACCATTACGTAGTATGAATACACCCCATTTTGTTTGTTCATGCATCACTTTGTGGACATTTGGGTTTCCACATTTTCACTATTATGAATAATGCTACTATGAACATTCACATATGAGTTTTTGTGGGAGCATATTACAAAATTTTGTTTGACTTTTAGGATTCAATTATTAAATGCAAATAAATTATGGTATCTAGAACAATTTCATATGGAAATGCAAATATTTAGCTTTTCTTGCTTTGTAATAGAATACGCGAAGGAGACAAGGTAGGAGTGGCCTTTGCGTTGATCAGTAAATCCACTTATCACACCAGACAATGTGCTTCCAAGTTGGAAAAAAATGCCATCCTAGAGTTAAATCTCTACTCTATGCACTTACCACCCTTTTCCTCTGTAATTTTGGTTTCTGAATCAAAAGAAAAGGATTTAGGGCAGCGATGGGTGAATAATTGTTTTAACCTGAGTTCACGTTAGCAATGAGTAGCTTTATGTTGCCAAACCCACACCATTTAAATGGAGGGCTTTGCTCTGCAATAGACAGAGCTTGATATTACCTCTATGTTGTCTAACTAGTGTCATAAATGGACTCTGAATTTAATTTATATTAGTTAAAATACCATAACTTAGTTGTTAGTGCATATGTTAAAGTGTTTTAAGTAGCCAGGATCTTTGTCCAAGTCCAGGACATTTTTGTCAAGAAGTTGTGATAGAAAAAATAAATAAATAAATAAAGTTAGTGATAGGATAGACATACTTTGTACCAAATAATTCTCTTTCAAATTATGCATCATGTTTATAAATGGAATTTCTCCTTTACTTTTTTTTTTTTTTTTTTAGACAGAGTTTCAAGGTATTGCCCTGGCTGGAGTGCCATGGAGACATCATAGCTCATAGGAACCTCCAACTCTTGGGCTCAAGCAATCCTCTTATCTTTTTTTTTTCTTTTGTAGTAGAGACAGGATATTGCTCTGGTTTAGGCTGGGCTCCATCCTGTGAGCTCAAGAAATCCACCCGTCTTGACACCCCAGAGTGCTTGGATTACAGGCGTGAGCCACAGCATCCAGCTCTCTTTATTTATTTATTTATTTTTTTATTGAATGGTAACTGTGTACATTGATGCACTTTGGGGGTACAGTGTGGTGTTTTCATACACAATCCAAGACACTTCCATCAAACTGGGCTCTCTTTATTTTTAAAATGACATTTTTAGGTATAATATTTATGCAGCAGAATGTACCCTTTTAACTGTACTCGCCTGAGTTTTGAAAATGTTTGCACCATAGCACCACCAATCAGATGAACACACAGAACCTCTCAAGCCCCTGGGAAGCTCCATATCTTCCTCAGCAGTAGTCAGTCCTGTTCTACCCAGGCCACAGGCAAGCCTTAGTGTAGTTTTCGTCTCCATAGATTACTCTGGCCCATTCTGGAATTTCACATAAATGGAATAATGATGTATATCTTTTTATGGTTGGCTTCTTTTGGTCAGTATAATGTTTTTAGCTATATCCTTGATATTATATATTTCAGTATTTCTTTTTCATTGCTACATGTTATTCCATTGGGTAGATTTACTACATTTTGGTTTTACATTTCCTTGTTTAATTTAGCCACCCTTATAGGTGTATAATGTTTCCTCACTTAAATATAAACCAGAATGCCATTTTATTAATTTAGTGTAAGAATAAGATTATGAACTCAGTTGTGTCATTTGATCACATTTCTTCTTTTTTTGCCCACTTGTTATTGAAAGTTTGGTTCATAAGCTAGGAGCTTAACCAGGGATGTTAATTGGGTAACCTTAGTGGCATGTTCTAAAGCTATGGTTATGGAATGTACTGACTCAGCTGTGTGGATAGACCTGCCAGGTAAAAACAAGCTGTGAGAGCCTGCAGGCCCTCATACTGTTCATTTCATCACTGTACTACCTAAGGAAGCTTTGGTTTTTAACTTAGGAGTTTTTAAATAAAGACTAGAATGTTGAGGCTTGACATTAGGGAGTAGTATGCTGTGTATTTGCTATCACTTGTTCAGATTTATGAAAATGATGGATGAAATTCTCATCAGCAAGTATAGAGAATACTGACGAGCCAGATTCTGAAGGTTGGTATCCTAACTTCACCACACAACAGCTGTGTAATGAGCCCCAGGCTCATTACATAGCCCCTGTTGCCCAGCTTCTGAACGTGGCTAAAGTGAAGATGGCCTGTGAAGAATATATTATTTAATAGTTACTGTACATAAACATGCTTGGTGTAATGGCCTTTTGCTAATGTATTCTTAGCTATTAAGACTATTTCTGGGGCAGCACCTGTGGCTCAAAGGAGTAGGGCGCCAGCCCCATATGCTGGAGTTGGTGGGTTCAAAACCAGCCCCAGCAAAAAAAAAAAACAAACAAACAAAGACTATTTCTGCAGGATAGGTGCCATGGCTCACACATGTAATCCCAGCACTCTGGGAGGCCGAAGTGGGTAGATTCCCTGAGCTCAGGAGTTGGAGACCACCCTGAGCAAAAGTAAAGCCCCATCGATACTAAAAATAGAAAAACTAGCTGGGCATTGTGGCCGGCGCCTGTAGTCCCAGCTACTAGGAAGGCTGAGGCAAGGAGATCACTTGAGCCCAAAAGTTTGAGGTTTCTGTGAGCTAGGATGCCATGTTACTCTACCCAAGGTGCACAGTGAGACTGTATTTCAAAAGAAAGTATTTCTGCAAAAATTGTTAATGAAGCAAAAATATTTTATGTGAAGATAGGCACTGGAAGTAAGTACTCACTCTGAAGGTGATGGAGGTGAAAGCCTAGAGCTTCCACAAACATTTCTGCAATTTGGGATATTGTAAGTTTCAGGATGTATCCCAGGAATGTTGGTTATAGTCCAGAAAATTCATGTAATGTTTCTCTTTATTGTTACATTACCTTGGCTCTTTTGTTCATACTTTTAAAGATACCTTACTTTAGATTAAAATACTTACTGTTTAAGGATTAGATGTTCCTACATAAGAAACCTTAACATCTGGCTTATTTATTCAAACTGGACTTAATATTCATTTTCATTTAATAAAAAACAATGGATAAACTATAATTTGTGCTAAGAATTTAAAAAAAGGGTAAGTCAGAACCCCTGGAAAAGCCAAAAGAAACCTTAATGGTAGTGATAGTGATAACTAAAGTTGTGCTTATGTTCAAGGATTAAAAGAAAACCATGTAAACTAACATAGGCAACCAAAAGTTAGATGGCTCCAAACAGGCTTGATGAAGCATTGAATTTGGAGTATCTCAGATTAACCAGAAAGCTGATTGCCTTTGGGTGAAAATGCCAGAATGTAGGTCTAGAAATAGAAATACGGGTTGAGGTCTGTGGAACTAGCAGGAATACCCATTTCCTTTCCTTTTCTTTTCTTTTTTTTAAAGGAATGCCCATTTTCATTTTGGGACAGGCTAGACTTAGAGCGTGTGTCCCAGACAAACCACAAGTACTATTTAAGCGTAACTAAATGTATGTTGATTATGTTTTTGAAATTCTTTTTTCAGGCCCTAATAACAACAATCCTCAAACCTCAGCTGTTCGAACCCCTACCCAGACTAATGGTTCTAACGTTCCTTTCAAGCCTCGAGGGAGAGAATTTTCCTTTGGTAAATATGTATTTTATTTTTCTTTATATCATCCTTTTAAGTAAAAGAAATAATTGTGCTTTATTTTACCAGGTTAGTTGTATTTTATTTGCTCAGTCAGTGTATACTATATCAAAGATTGAAGGCACAGACTATAGAGCCAGACATCCTGGTTCGAAATCTGATGGCTACTATGTTAGTAACTCTGTGACCTTGGGAAGCTGTACCTCAATTTCCTTATGTGCAAAATGGTGATGACATTACTTTCTGCATCATAGGGTTAATATAAGGATTATAATTAAGTCTTTTGAAGTACTTAGGAGCAAAGCTGGCATATAGTGGACCTTGTGATTTGGTGAGGGGGGATTTTCATGGGTTTTAATTTGTTTTTTATTTCAGGGTAGCACTGTAGCTCAAGCAGCTAAGGCACCAGCCACATACACCAGAGCTGGCATGTTCAAATCCGGCCCAGGCCTGCCAAACAATGACATCTATAACCAAAAAATAGCCAGGCATTGTGGCAGGCGCTTGTAGTCCCAGCTACTCGGGAGGCTGAGGGAAGAGAATCGCTTAAGCCCAGGAGTTGGAGGTTGCTGTGAGCTGTGAGACTTCACAGCACGCTACCTAGCGTGCTAGCTTGAGGCTCTGTCTCAATAAAAATAAATTTGTTTTTTATTTCAGCTTATGTCATTTATAGCCAACCTATTGGTAATAGAATAAAACAGTTCAGTACTATATCAGGATTAGAGTAGTAGCTAAGACAAGACAATAGTAAAAGCTTAGGTATTTTTTATTTTGTGCTTTTTTAATGATGCACAATAGAATAAGATGGAAAAATCCCTGCTTATAACTGTATCTTTGTAAGTATTACAATTTGTCTATTTTGTGTTTATATGCAGAGGCCTGGAATGCCAAAATCACAGATCTAAAACAGAAAGTTGAAAATCTTTTCAATGAAAAATGCGGTAAGTTTATTTTAGAACGTTATTACTAAATATTATTATCATTTGAAATGTGTGGCCTTTTCAGGCTTCGCTTTCATCCTATCTCCTGTGTTCTCTTCTGTGTATGTGGATGTTTTTACAGGTGAAGCTCTTGGCCTTAAACAAGCTGTGAAGGTGCCGTTTGCATTATTTGAATCTTTCCCAGAAGACTTTTATGTGGAAGGTTTACCTGAGGGTGTGCCATTCCGAAGACCATCTACTTTTGGCATTCCAAGGCTGGAGAAGATCCTTAGAAACAAAGCCAAAATTAAGTTCATTATTAAAAAGTAAGTCAATTGAAATGAAGCAGGGTGGGTTATGAGTTAATTCTGTTTGACACTGAGAGATGGGTTTATGGCAGGGCTAATTTAGCTCTAGAGTCAGGCTATTCTTCTGCATATGTTTTAGATTTTCTCTAATCAATTCGAAGAAGGGAAGGAGAGCTACCCAAAGTTGTATTACTACTGATGGATGTTGCTAGAATCTAAACAAAGGTTTAGTTACCTAAATTCCTTGTATTTTTTTAACTTAAAGAATATTTAACATTTTCCTATATTTACTTGAACATCTATGAATTAGGCTAATAATTGAAATAGATGAGAATAATTACAATTTAAAAATATATACTGATAATAATTGTTTTAATTAATTGAAATGAATTTTAGGTTTTATTTGCCTGGTGTAAGCTTACTTTTAAGTCACCCAGGGATCTGTCAAATAATCAAAGGTGGCCTTTGATTTGAGCATACTTTCAGTATAAAGTTGGCAGCAGCTAAGGCTTCTGGTTCTGCTTCATGAGTGAAAGACGCTTCCTATTTTTGTAGCTTGTCTTCTGTTTCCATTCTCAGTCAGCACTGACTCTTTTCAGAATGCAGTCTAACCTTGGTAATGAGATATTAATAAAACTACTGTGAGCAAGGAATGGGATCGATGTTAACATCACAGTTATTTCTCTTTCTGGATATATTCTATTAGACAATCTTTTCTTTTTTCTCTTCCATTATTAAGAATTGAATGTATTCCTATTTCAGTGTTTATTATTGGATTAGCACATATCTTTTCTCTTTTGTTTCTAGGCCTGAAATGTTTGAGACAGCTATTAAGGAGAGCACCTCCTCCTCTAAGAGCCCTCCCAGTGAGTGTCCTTCCTGTAGAAAACAAACTTTTAGGCTCAGCGCCTGTGGCTCAAGTGGCTAAGGCGCTAGCCACATACACCTGAGCTGGTGGGTTCGAATCCAGCCCAGCCCACCAAACAACAATGATGGCTGCAACCAAAAAATAGCTGGGCATTGTGGTGGACGCCTGTGGTCCCAGCTACTTGGGAGGATGAGGCAGGAGACTCACCTGAGCCCAGGAGCTGGAGGTTGTTGTGATCTGTGATGCCACAGCACTCTACCCAGTGGGGCAGCTTGAGGCTCTGTCTCAAAAAAAAAAAGAAAAAAAGAAAAGAAAACAAACTTTTAGACATACATTTTGCATGGCAGTCACAGTCATGTTGATTCATGATTGAAATCCTAGCACTTTGGTAGGCTGAGGTGAGAGGATTGCTTGAGGCCAGGAGTTTAAGACCAGCCTGAGCAAAATAGTAAGACCCTGTCTCTACTAAAAAAAAAAAAGGCAAAATTAGGCAGGCATGGTGGTGCATATCTGTTGTCCCTGCAACTAGAGAGGCTAAGGCAGGAGGATCACTTGAGCCCGGGAGTTTGATACTGCATTAACCTATGATGATACCATTGCAGTTTAGCCCAGGCAATAGGGTGAGATCCTATATCAAAAAAAGAAAGAAAGAAATGCATTTGTAGCAGTGGTTTAAGAAAAATTGTTTAAAGATAGCTGTTGAGATAAAACCAGGGAAAACTCATTAATAATTGGGACTTTGACCATTTCATAATTTTTAGTTCTTTAATAATTTTCTGATTTTTCTGAACAACCTTTATGTGTGTAATCTTCTAGTAAGCACTACCAGGAAGAGCAAAACAATAAAAACCAGTCTCTCAGGAAGCTGAATATCATATTAAAATTTTGTAGCATACTATGGGAAGGAACACATGGTATGTTACATGTATGGGCATGGTAGACAGAATACCATCTCATGTAGTCTAGATTATAAGGCCATTGCTTTCTGATCATTTAGAGAAGATTTTGACCATTTTTCCCCCTCCAAACTCTAATTTCAAATCTGTATTTATTTAAGGAAAAATAAATTCATCACCCAGTGTCAATACTACTGCATCAGGTGTTGAAGATCTTAACATCATTCAGGTGACAATTCCAGGTATGCTTTCTCTGCGTTTATCATAGTTTGTAGGTTCTCTTCAGTTTTTTTAGAGTTTTCTAACTGATTACAGGAGTTTGTTATATTCATTCAGGGACATCAAATATATTTTGAGCTGCATGGTACTCTTCTTTGGCCACTGCAATAGTTGATAACAAAATACAGTTTATTTCTAAATAGCTCTATCTGGTTATTACACTTGGCATGAACTAAAATCTATTAACCATCCAAATCTCTAATCTGTTCTTTTAATAAATCTATATAAAACAATGGTCCTTATAACTGGAAAGCGTTTTCAGTTTGGTGTTGTAAGTTTTAAACAATTTGAAACCTGATTTTAGTTTAGTTCAAAATGCTTATGTACTCCCTAAAGTTACAGAGAGCTCCAAACAATTTATTTGAAATCAAAAGTGCATTCGTTATTAAGCTGGGTACAATGATATACACCCACAGCCTCAGCTGCTTGAGAGTCTGAAATAGGAGGATCACTTGACCTCAGCAGTTTGAGTACAGCATGGACAACATACCAAGACCCCTTTATTTTTGTTGTTGTTGTTTGTTTTAAAGTGCATTATTAAGTTTTGGCTTTTAACTGTTTAGATGATGATAATGAAAGACTGTCAAAAGTGGAAAAAGCTAGACAGCTAAGAGAGCAAGTGAATGACCTCTTCAGTCGAAAATTTGGTAAGTTTGGTATTTGCAATAAGCAGAAACTGTATTTTAATAAGATCTTTTCAGACGGGGCACAATGGCTCACATCTGTAATCCTAGCACTCTGGGAGGCTGAGGCAGGTGGATTGCTTGAGCTCAGGAGTTCAAAATCAGCCTGAGCAAGAGTGAGACCTTACCTCTTGTAAAAATAGAAGAAAAAAAAAACTAGCTGGGTATCGTACCTGGCACCTGTAGTCCCAGGTACATGGGAGGCTAAGAATCGCTTAAAGCCAAGATTTTGAGGTGGCTGTGAGCTATGACACCTTAATACTCTACCAAGGGCAACAAAGTGAGACTGTGTCTCAAAAAAAAAAAGAAATATACAAATACATTACTTTAAACAGCTGAAACAATCTTCTAAATAAAATGTTGTTCTTATGCTTTCAAATACAGTAGAACCTCCATAGTGGAGCATTTCCTCACATTCACCATCTCCTCAAATTGACCTAACTTTCATAGACCAGACATGCTGCACAGATACGTATCAGTACAGTAATCCAAGTTCCTTATGTTGACCCGTTTGTTACAGTAGCATGGGTGGTCAACTTACAGCAGATCTGCTGTACTTCTTAAGGCGACAAATTAATTTGTGCTTTTTTGCTGTTTGTCTCTTAAGGTGAAGCTATTGGTATGGGTTTCCCTGTGAAAGTTCCATACAGGAAAATCACAATTAATCCTGGCTGTGTAGTAGTAGATGGCATGCCTCCTGGGGTGTCATTCAAAGCCCCCAGCTACCTGGAAATCAGCTCCATGAGAAGGATCTTAGATTCTGCTGAGTTTATCAAATTCACAGTCATTAGGTAAGTAAGAGTTTCCTATTTACTCACAAAAACATATCTGGAGATGGTGAGGCTAAGCCATTTTCTAAAATGTGATCATATGTAGTAATGGAATCAAGGATACTATGAAATGAATAAATAAAGATACTTGTTTAGTTATTACAATGTTAGATTATCTCCTACTTGAGATGACTTACTTTAATTCTTCAGATTTTTAAGGCAAAGAGTTGGCAAATAATGGCCTGTTGACTCATTCCAGTCTGGTCTTTATTTACAGAAACAGTTATAGCAGTTGTTTATGTAGTATCTATGGCTGCTTTCTTGTTCCAGTGTACAGCTGAGTAGTTAGGACAGAGATAGTGTGGCTACAAAGCTGAAATATTTACTCTCTGGCCTTTACAGAAAAAAATTTGCCAACCTCTGTCTCACACATCTCAGCATGGGCTCCAGGTCTGATATGGATTCAATTCCAAGTCAGTCATTTGTTAGCCAAGTCATTTCTGTTTCCTTGTCTGTAAAATGAGGACCATAATTGTTCCTTAACAGCTCCTTGGCCACAGAGTAGGAATGATGATTATACTTGCCTCTAACTGCATTATGAGAATTATATTTATGAATATCTGCTTGTCACAGTAAGTGACATTAACCTAAGCAGAAATTCCAGGTTACTTTCACTCTTTGTTAAGTCCAACCTTCAAAAAATTTAGCTACCAGTAAATCTGCCAATCAATTTGCCATCAAGTTCCCACTATCTTTATTACACATCCTTTAGGACTAGTACTCCAGAACTGCTGCTCTATTACCCTCTTGAGGCTTGTTCTCATGCACTAATCTTCTGCCAACCCTCTTTCCCTAAAGATCCCATATTCTTTCCAGTTAACCATGGCCATTCTACATACCCTTCTGAGGGGATAGGCAGAAAGCCTTCTTCCATTAGATCACTTAACTAGATTTGCTGTGTTCTCTTCTCTGCATTCCTCTTTTTGTTTTTCCTCTATGTGTACATAACATTTTCTAACAGTCTTTCATATTATTCATATATCTCTGTGTCTCCCATAAGGTTATAAAGAAGTAGATACTATTTCTTATGATAGTACATAAGTAACACAGGTTAAATAGTAGTTGAATAAATGAATATACATGTATAAATTCTTATAGAGTAAAAAAAAATTTTATATTAGACAATTTTTCTCTCTTTAGACCATTTCCAGGACTTGTGATTAATAACCGTGAGTATTTCATAAAGTCTTTTTCTTTTTCCTGGGACTTGGGGGTGGGGGTGTGTGTACACATGTGTACATTCCTAACTGACTGTGTGCTTCACCTGTGTCAGTAACCATGCAGAATAATTGTTTTAATCCTCAAGAAGAAAACACCAGGCACTTTCTAGATGTAAAATCAGTCTAAGTTTCTTAACTGTTCTTATCTTCTGTGTACTCAGTCATAAAATGAGTACATAATACATATAGTACCCATATACATAATAGTACCCATTTTGCCACATTTTAGAGCATGTGAGGTCTTTTAGAGTATATGTAAACATTCTAAAACAGGTCAGCAAAGCCTTTGATAAATAAAGTTTTATGGAACACTGTCATGACCATTCATTTGTGGCTGCATTGAGAGGTTGCTGCAGAGACTGTGTGACTTGCAAAACCTAAAATGTTTTCTGATCAGCTCTATAAGAATAAAGTTTACATACCTCTAACCTAGAACGATGGCCTGTGCTCAACAAGTATAGTCTGTATTTATTATTATTATGACTATTGTTATCTTTACCAGTATATAATTACTGTGCTGGAATTTAATGACAAAGTAGGTCATTTGATGTTATTGAGTTTGATTCTATTAATATTTAAATATAGTATCTGGCACACATTTGGCTCTCAAATATTTTTGACTGAACATACATGTCCTTCTAATTTCTTACTTAGTATATAATTTTAAATAGTATTTTGAACCAGATTTAATTATGCTATGTTTTTTGTGTTCTATTAACTTTTTTATTAAAACGTTACCAAAGGGAGAATCATCCTTTTCTAATACCCTTAGCATTTCAGTATTTTTTTCTGATTGGAATTATTGTTTTAACTCTTTAGGATCTATCTGCATTGACTAATCAAAACTAATCAGTTTATTCGTTAGAAAAGTGAGCCTGTTCAAGGACTTTTTAGTGATCATGTTCAAGAAAAACACTAAGTTACCTTTCTGCTTCCCACTATTGACTATGTTTCTTGGCCTTCATTTACTCTTTGGTATCATAAATTTAATTATGTGTCTTCTGCCACCAATTTTGAGTTTTGCTTTAATCATAAAATTTACTCATTTGCTTGTACCATAAACGTGAGTTTTTTTTTTTTATAAACTACTTGTAGCATACCCCCTATCTTGATAGATATGGTATTATCTGGTAATGGCAGTAATTAGAGAGTTTGAATCATTTTTGTGACATTCAGCTTTAATCACACTAGGAAAAGAAATCCCATCATAATTTTTACCATTGTGTCTATTTTTATTGATCTCAGTCTATAATTTTTTATTTCCAAAGAACATTATATGTATTTTAAGCCTATTCACCCCTGAATTTATGTTTAAGGTGTTTAGTTTTGTTCTCATTCTTGTGTTATAGGGTGTAATAAAGTTTTATCATAATTAATATGAATTAGTTGCTTTAATGGACATACCTGAACACTTAGTGTTTGTTTCCTTCTCATCATAAGGAACATAATACTTGCTCTGGCAAAGTTGGAGCATCAGAATAGCAAATGGATATTAAAATACTTTTCACATTTAATAACATGTCATTAAATGAATACATAAACTGATTTGCTTTATTTTCAGAGTTGGTTGATCAGAATGAGTCAGAAGGCCCAGTGATACAAGGTAAGTGAAACAGCAGAAAACATGTAAATACTCCTACTTGTCCAGTAGAGTGGATCCCATGTAATCATGTCTTCTCACTTGCTTATTACAATTGCCTACCTTAAGACTCAGTTACGGCTCAGCACCTGTGGCTCAAGTGGCTAAGGCGCCAGCCACATACACCTAAGGTGGCAGGTTCAATTCCAGCCCGGGCCCGCCAAACAACAATGACGGCTGCAACCAAAAAATAGCCGGGCGTTGTGGCGGGAGCCTGTGGTCCCAGCTACTTGGAAGGCTGAGGCAGGAGACTCGCTTGAGCCTAGGAGTTGGAGGTTGCTGTGAGCTGTGATGCCACAGAACTCTACCCAGAGGGACAGCTTGAGGCTCTGTCTCAAAAAAAAAAAAAAAGACTCATTTACACAGCACATATAGTCCCTGTGTTTGTTATGCCTGTGTTTGAAAGCCTATATAAACATAAGCTCAAGCTGTGGGTCCTTATTGAGAACTGTTGGCTGCAGACCCTATGAACCCACTGTCCTAAGGAGGAATAACATCAAGAATCCCAAGACTGGCTCAGTGCCTGTAGCTCAGCCATTAGGACAGGTGGCCACATACACTGGAGCTGGTGGGTTCAAACCCAGCCCGGGCCTGCCAAACAACAAGGACAACTACAACCCTCCCAACCCCCCAAAAATAGCCTGGCGTTGTGGCAGGTGCCTATAGTCCAGCTATTTGAGAGGCTGAGGCTATTTAAGAGAATCACTTAAGCCCAAGAGTTTGAGGTTGCTGTAAGCTGTGACGTCACAGCACTCTACCAAAAGCAACAAAGTAAGACTCTTATCTCCCCCCCACGCCTTCCCCCCACCCCCAGAATCCCAAGACTAATGGTTTAGAATGAAGTGTCAGGGTAGGAAGGTTGTCTTTTTAACTTTACTCTTTATGCCATCATAATTGTTCTAATGATTGCTATAAATTAATGAACCAAATTATATTGAATAATGTATTATGGCATTAAACATTCTTTAAGCCTTTCTCTGGAATGAAGTAGAGCCCCAAACACAGCGAGGGTGGGGGAGTTCTTTGAAACACAGTAGAGTGGTCTGCTGCTCTGTGATTCCTTGAAATACACTGAAAGAGTATTATTAGAGTAGGACATGGAAGGTGAGGAGAAAGAAATATCTTTCTTTCATGGTAGAGCTATGTTAAGATTGTTATTTAAGACTTCAGTTATATATGTGAACTTGACACATTTCAGAAGAATAGGAATTTGGAAATACAGTTGATTGTCTATTTAACTTCCAGATTCTACCTATTATTTTCTTAGACTTGTGTTTGTGTGCAAAGTCTGGTGGGCTTTTTCCTCTCTTCCTTCTTCTGGGTTCTTCAAAGTAACTTTTGAATACTGTTCAAATAAATCTCCATGTTTTTCTTTAGAATCATCTGAGCCAAGCCAGTTGGAGGTTCCAGCAACAGAAGGTAAAAGGGTAGTCCAGTTGTGGAAATTTGATGTTCCTTAAGATTTTTATAAGGGCAAAGGATTAACTGTGTTTTGTTTTGTTTGTTTGTTTTGCCAGGGCTGGGTTTGAACCCGCCACCCTTGGCATATGGGGCTGGCACCCTACTCCTTGAGCCACAGGTGCCGCCCCAGGATTAACTGTGTTTTTAAATCTGTTTCATTAGACCCGTATGATGGTTTTGTTCTTTGGGTCTGGGTGAATTGAATTTGCAGTTCATGCTGTTCAGAGATGACTCTTGGTGAATTCTCCTTGAATATCAGTTGAATGACTACTATATTACCTAGACAGTACACATGCTTTAAGTATATGGAAGTAATAAGATGTTTGTTGCTTAGAAAACATAAGTAACAAATTTAGCATTTTTTGCCTAAGAAACATTATCTCTCTAAAAATGTCATTTCGTCATATTTTGTAATTCTTCTTAAATCATATCTTAGTAAATTGTATGGTATGGTAGATTTATAATTGAGTATGTTTATATTCATAATGCAATTAATTGGTACCATTTTGTTTCTTTTGATAGAAATAAAAGAGACTGATGGAAGCTCTCAGATCAAGCAAGAACCAGACCCCACGTGGTAGACTCTTCCTTCCCTCCTAGGGTAAATCAGCGTCTATGTCAGGGATGCCATGTGGTGTCCCGATGAACCCTCCTGCATATTCATTAGCTAATGTATTTTCCCTGCTTTAGCCATAAGATGATTGGCCCCAGCTTCAAAGGATGTGGGATCTAAGTTTAAAAAGCCTTACTGGACAGTCTGAGCTAGAAGGTTCAAGCAGAGACATTTTCCTTCCTAGAATATTTCAGTCAAAGATGTAAACACTTTTGCCTTAAAAGGAAAATGTTTTGTTTCTAATTAAAAGAGTAAACCTTGTTCTCAACATTGAAAATTATTATGAGTCAGTATCATTATATTGACTTTATTCTTTTTATTTTTTTTACTTTATTCTTTTTTAATAGTAATACTACTACTAACATAGTCTGACTGAGCTGCAGATCCATTGTTCATCTTGTGTAATTGAGTTCGAAGTCTGAGCCTGTTCAGATTTCTCACACTTCGTCAGGTTATTAATAATTAATAGTAGGGGTAGCACTCTAGACCAAGAGTCAGGCATTCTCAAGTCCTGTTGAACCTCCCTGAGCCACTCCAAGCCCCAAGTAGTTAATGTTTTCATGATAGTGATACAGTTGGTTCTGATCTATACCTTGACAATGGATTTTTTTATCCAGATACTTCATTGTAATAGAATTTGCCTTATACTGTCAATTAGTTTCACATGATTTTATGAGTACATTTGAATCCAAGTATCAATGTTATCAAAGTTTTCAAATTAAGTTGTGTTTATGAGTGTATTTACCTGTAATCAGATTAACCTGTTTGCTTGCTTGTTTGTTTTCTCTCCTATTTTAGCTTAAAGTATCAGTGGTTGAGAAGAGCTTTTCGGACCTGTTACTGCCCCAAGCTGTGTAATATACTTGTATAACAGAAATACCTTCTATACAAACCTTTTTTTCTACTTTTAGATAGAAATGTCTACTTTTTCAGCAGTTCTGTGAATTGAATTAAAGAGCAGAGTGACTGTAGATTTGGAATGGCTGGTTTACTTTGGAATGTATTATAAGGATTTTACAGCAATGCTGGAAAAACGACAGGGAAAATGACAGGGATGAATCTCATCAGATTTTTTTAAGTATTCAGCAGAGCCTTCAGCTATGGTGTTTATTTTCCAATCAAGTGAAGATATCTCCTATTGGAACATCTCAGCTTCTGCGAAGAAGAAGATTCCTGTGATAGTTCAGTTCTTTAGTTTTTCTATTTGAAAAATCATTTAAATGATCCTTTGTTCACAGCTCTCCTTAATGACTGAGTGAACAGTTAGTATCTGTATATTTGACTAAACTTTTTCCTAAGCTTCTATCATGGTTCATATGTTTTTTATCATAATTAAAAGAAAAACCATCTGGATCACCTAACAGTCAGAGGTTAGTATCTCCGCGTGTGAATTACAGATGAAATATACAGAGAACCTCTTCCACTTTTACTTTTCGTCCAAATAAAGTGCATGGTGTACCAGATTTGAAGATCGGGTATGAGTATTTGGGCAAGCTAGATGACACTAAAGCCTCACTATCATGTAACCCGTTGTGGCATGGAATTCTCTGGAGCACTGGTCCAGCTTGGATCAGTCCCAAGGGATTGTCATTGCCTGCATCATTTTCTAATTTTTGTAACATTGAGGCACCAGTGTGGGGAGTGAGGCTAATCCTGCACCCTCTTGATATTCTGCACCATTTGTAGGAGAATCTTACATGTGTTGAGATTTCACAAACAATAAGAGTTGTAAAATACCAGCGATATGAAAAGGTAGAGTATGTGATGGCATAGTTTTCATTAGCTTTATCACTATTCACAATGGAGAATTATATCACATGGTAGCAGAAATAGGCATTTTTATGTGTTGCTTATATTTTACCTCAAATTAAATTGTAGATATAGGGTAATAAATAAAATCCATCCATGCCTTTCACACACTAATTCATTTCTTTCTAAGGTGTTTTCATGGTTATGTCTGGGGAAATTTGTGGGTGGTTTGGTGGTAGGTGGAGTGCAAAACGAGGGGTAGATTGGTGTTGTTCAGATTCTGCAGTGCCTCGTGAGGACCCCATACATGGTGTTTCTGAGATCACTGTTGCTCATCTAGTCTGAGCTGGAGCTAGAGCTCTCGCCTTTCATCTGTGATGTGCCAACCATGGCGATGGGGAACAGCCTAAGTATGGATTTTTAGGTCAAAACTTCCTCCCCGTATAAAGCACATACATAATCCCTTCCCACCTAAAAATCGTGTGGCTCTAGCCTTCTTTGTTCTCTCCACATAGTCTCTGGCCCTCCAGTACCCTACTAGTCAGAGAAAATAAAACTAATTTTATTTTTAGCCTGTCAGCTGCTGCATAGAATCTCATAGTTCCTTGAAGGTGTCCTTAAAACACATACTGCCATGCCACCCTCAGCTACACCTCCCAGTCGACTCCTGAGGAATCAGAGCCATCTCAGAGCTGTTTTTATTAGGAGTTCAGTTTTTTTATGTAACTCTTAATTCAGTTTTTGTTTTAACACAAATTTGTGACATCACAGCCTTACCAAGGAGACCTATGTTCCTATCCATTATAAGAATTCTGTGTTTCTGTATTCATGTATTTTTATATCTACATACATACATAACATACATACTAGAAATCATTTATTTAAGCCTGGAAGTGTGGTGTACATCCTGTAGTCTCAGCTACTCAGTGTTGGAGGCAGAAAATCGCTAGAGCCCAGGAGTTCTAGTCCAGCCTGGGCAACACAGCAAGACTCCGTCTCTTTTTTAAAAAGGCATTTATTTAGCATGTTCTCAGATCTGCTAAATGCATCAATGTCTTATTCTGGGAAACACTGGAATGCAGACTAATGTCCTTACGATAACTTAAAAGTATCTTCTCCCATCCTGTTTAGAAGCTCCTTAAACAGGCCCAGTTATTTTATGACAGAACAAAAACTTCCAAAATGCTGAACCTCAGACATGGTCACTGTTGCTACATCTATATTGTGGAAGAGCATAGAAAAAGATCATTCTTGTTAACTCCTTGAAGCTTTTACATGTTTCCGTTTGGGTATCTCTTAATTAAAGCTTCCCTTAGAACAGCATTGTTTCCTGGCAGGGTGTCTGCCTTGTTAAATTCCCCCATTACCAACAGTGGCAGAATGAGCCTTGGGACGCGGCCATGGGCCTGCTTAAGAGGAGTGGCAGAGATGCCTGTCTTGCTACATTGGAGCCTAGTGACAGCCTACAAGAGTCTCTACCTGCCTGCACTAATGAATAGGCTAGGCATTCGTGAAAGGCACTTGATGATTAGCATGGTTCTGGGGGGCAAGTTTAAATCTGTCCACTAAATCTTTATTTGCTCAGTAGTCTAGATTGAAAAATGAAGTTAGTTCAAATAGATCTCTTCAGTAAATCAAACGTACCATTTTCTCTGAAACAGTTTCCTGATTCCATTATAAATCAAGATAGAATATAGTTATTTGACCAGGTAGTATAGTCGAGAGGCTCAGAACAGGGGCTTTATGACCACATCCAAACTCCACTCTGGACAGCTATACCTTGAGTAAATTGCCATCAGAAAATATGTAAAACCAAAGAGATGTCGACATCCCATGATTGTATGAAACCCTGTCAACTGAGTTGTACTGAATGCTGATTCCACTCCAATGCTGGATCTTCAGTGGTAAGGAAACCAAGGCTTTGTTCTTGGAGTGGCTTCTGCCGTTGGATTTGCAGAACAACTGGAGGGAAAGCCTGAAGGAAGGACCAGCAGCTCATCTACTCCCAGGTGCTGAAGCCAGAAGTGTTCATCTGTTAATTGGATATCTTTGCATTTGTCTATCCCACCTAGACCATTGAGCACACATTAGTTCATTATTTTCTGCAGTTGGCACATTGTGTGATGCCTAATCTTTTATTAGTTTAAGTCATCAGGAACTATATGCATCAGGAAGTAGTTGCCCCAGTCTTACTAAGAGATGAAGGACTTGAACCCAGGTCTCAATATCCTAGCATCTTCCTATCTTAAAACACTTTTTGAAGTAGGTGTATTCTGAGTATACTAATGGCCCACACATTGACCCTCTACCCCTCACCCCCTCACCTCCCAAAGGTCCATTGGTGAGGAAAATTGAGTGACAAGGACCTTCCTAGTGTCCACATAACACCTTTAAGCCCTGGTCTAAGTCAATTTAAGGGACTTGGTTGGCTTAAATGTTAGTGTACATCTTCTGGCGGTTAACTATTAAGTACTCACCTTCCTGAATGGAAGGCAGAGTTTTCAGAAGGTAAAATCACCTCCCCAGATGCCCCAGTTGATGACAAAGAAGGGGACCTTAGGCTGGTTTCCTTGGTGTGGCCACTGTCCCAGCACCTACACCTGTGAGTCCTGTAGGGTGAGCACACACAGGCCAGTAGCTCTTTAGACTGACAATTCCCCAGAGTGTCACAGTCTCCTTGCCTCTGCTCTGGTCTGTGAGCAGGCGTGTCAGCTCTCTGTACTTCATGGCTGCCAGCTTTCTTCGCTCAAAGGGGCAAATTTAAAAGCAGCTTGTGGCTCGTAGAGATAACAGGCCCCTAAGGTCTAGTGGGCTATTGATGACAAAGGGTGGGTGGAACTTAACCTGGAAACTGGTTAAAAATCAAGCCAAGCTTGGTAGGCCCAGAGCTTTCCCAGCTACACTTCTCTCCCCCATTCCACCCCCACCACCTCAAAGTAAACTAGTTGCATTTATTTTGAGGAAGTATCAGGAAAGTTTAGCACTGAAATCAATCTTTGATGCAACACTTAATTTGTAAAGGTGTTTTTATCAGACTTCCTCAGAAGCAAGAGCAGAGCATTTTGTAACATGGGTTTCCTGCCTGGGCTCCAAGCCTCTGCTCAGCATCTATAAGATAGTAGGGACCCCATCAGAGACTGTCAGTGCCTCTGAGCACTCACTGGAAGACCCAGCCTGTGGCTGAGGAGTAGAGGCCCACTTTTCATGAATAATAAGTGCCACAGCCTATAAGATCTAGGGGAGTCCTGAAAACAGTGTTTACACTAAAATTGTCCTCTCTCCTTTGATGTGTAAGTCCTCCAGGATGGCCTTTTCTTGGGACGCTGCCCAGAGGCACTCAGAGTGGTCCTGCATTTGTAAAGTGGTCATAGACTGGTACAGTGCAGCCTCTTAACAAAAGCAGGCTGTCCCAAAGCCCTGGCAGTAGGACTGTTGACCTCCTCACTAGACGGGCTGGGAAAGCACCTACATCTGTGCCGGGGCAGACCTGGGAGGTTCACTGTGAGACTTATTTCCACAGCAAGTGACATTCTCTCTTTTTTTTTTTTTGAGACAGTCTCATTTTGTCGCCCTGGGTAGAGTGCTGTGGTGTCACAGCAACCTCAAACTCTTGGGCTTAAGCGATTCTCTTGCCTCAGCCTCCCCCCAAGTAGCTGGGACTACAGGCGCCTGCCACAACACCTGGTATTATTTTGTTGTACTTGTTCTATTTTTAGCAGACCCGGACCGGGTTCAAACTGGCCACCCTTGGTGTATGTGGCTGGTGCCCTAACCATTGAGCTACAAGTGCCAAGCCAGACATTGTCATTCTTCAAAGCCTAGTTTAAACAGCAGGTACCTGCCCTGCCTCGTGGCCCACCTTTGCCCCACTGCACCTTGTGATGGCCAACACTTCCCAACCTCACTACTGCCTAATAAGTAGGTGCAGTTTGAGCTGTTGAAAAGCAGTTCGGTGCTGAAAAAAACTTGCCAAAGGTCACAAAGCTAGAAATAGAGGTGTGGGTTCAGGACAAGTCTGCATTGGACTCCAGGCCCCTCTACACAGCACAGTGGTCACCAGGTATGTGTCCTCCCACTGGGCCCGCATCTCCATGTGACTCCACTGAATGCCAGGGACTTGGAGCCTGCTCTCCTGGGCCCCTAGGCCAAGGCCTGGAGGACTGTGTATAGGGGAATAGGGAGTTCACAGGAGTGTGGTTCAGGTGCGCCCTGAGCTGGTCACCTGATTCCCTTCTGGTGAGTCCCCGATACGCATCCCTGGCCAGGCCAACCGCTTCCCAGGTCTGATTCTGATAAAAAAGGAAGACTAGTCCCCTAGAAGCAGAGAATTTGGCCATGGCCTATCTTTTAATGTAGAAGACACCTGTCTGCCATAATAGGCTCAGGCCACACTCTAGCAAGCACACCACCAGCGTCATGTGTGCCTGGGACCCTTCCTGCTGCTCTAGGCACTGGAGAATGGTCCTATTGGCTGGCCGGGGAGACTATCACACAGAGCCTGCCAAGGGAATACAAGCTGTTGCTCAAGAGGGGGCAGCAAGACAGGTATAGTTTAGACCCAAGAAAGAACTGCCCTACATGAAGACTGATACATTTCAGTCCTGGAAAGCCCAGGTTTCCTTTTCCTGAAAAAAAGACCCTAAAGGGTAAACTTCCTGAGTCTTGCCCTGATGCCAGGCCCCTTTCCACACACTCTAGCCCAGCTATGGGGATTTCCTGGCTAAGGAAGTGGTCTGCCCAGCCCATATGGGGAAGGCCAGAAGATGACATCTGGAGAGAGGCCAGACCAGGAAACCCTGCCTGTGGTCTGGTCTGATGTGAGAACCTCCCTCTGGGACATTCCTACAGGCTAACTCCTTCCTGGTGAACACCTCACCCACACCCATTCATTCATTCACTTGCTCACACCGTTCAAGGGCCAGGTAGGCAGCCTCATGGGCCTGGGGCCCAAACTGCTTGAGTTTAAATCCCAGGATAAGCTGTGATCACAGATACAGGCACTTAGAATGGTGCTGGCACAGGGCAATTCCAGGGACTCTAGTGTAGTTCCAACACCCCGTGATGGTTAACTAGATATCTGCTTATAATTTATGATAATTAGTGAAACTGCAGTTTTCTATGTATTTAACATTTAAAAAGAGTTTTTAAAATGCAATTTCTTTCCCCTAAAAATAATCCTTATCTCTTCATTGCCTCCTTTATTTTTGTCCATTCTTTTTTAAAAAGTTTTTTTTTTTAATAATTGTTTATTCCTGGTTTCATCCATGCATTAAAGTAAATCCTTTCTCATATTGGCGAAAAGGATTTTTGAGCCTATTTACAGAGGTCATTACCAGGTCATAGTCTTAGTCATGCCTCTGCTCATCCAGCAAATATCCCAGGCCATGTGAAGTCACAGCCAGGCTACAGGAGGTGGGTGGAAAGGTAGCCGCAGGTGGCTCAGGGTGTCTGCAGGATGGGGTTCCCTGGCCAGGCACTTAGGCAAGAGTGGAAGGATGGTGGAGGAGGGAAGGGAGTGTGGGGGCCCCAGTAAGCACCACTGAGCTTCCCTGGGTCTACCACCCCAGACTGCATCCTTCCTGGGGACTTCAAGGCATACCATCTATAACAGGGAAGACTGGTGACAAACCGGGTATCTAACAGGGAGGGGGCACTGAAGGAATCACAAGTCAGCTCAGCCACTCCTCAGGAGCCACGTGCTGTGCTGCCAGGGCGGCCCTCTGACCTCCCTGTTACCCTGGTCGGAATCTATTTTTTGTTTTCAACTTTTTATTGAAGTTAAAACACCCACAGAAAGAGATCTGGGCACAGATCTTTTGTTTGTGGGACTGGTTGGTTTTCAGATAGTGGTCTTCAATGGGGCTTCTGGGCTAGCATTCTTCTCAAGAAAGGCTGCACAATGTTGTATGCCGCCTCCCGCTCCCCTTTTCTCCAGCCTGCCCCACCCAAGGCTACCCTGGTACCCAGCACTATAGGTGGATACAGGCAGTTTTTGAGCTTGGGGTAAATGCATCCTCCAGCCATGTGTGCTTTGTGCCTGTGGGGAGGACAGTAATGACCCGAAGGGAGCAGGAGGCAATAGCTGACTGGCCCTTTCTTAGTAAATGAAGCACCTACCAAGCAAACTTGACAGAGCAGGCAGAGTGGACCCTACACCACTTCTTAGATAATAAAATCAGAAACAACCTTGAACCTGACTCAGTTGTATTGACAGTCCTGAAGGGGCGTGTCTTGGCTCCCCTCTGCCAGACCCCAGAGCATACGAAGGAATGCATAGCTCTCAGAGTGCTCTAGGTGCTGGCTCCATTCACCATGGTCTCCCAATCTTGGCATCCCCAGCAGGTCTGAGCCACACACTAGCCCTGCCCACTTGTCCTGCGCTCCATTAAGGGTGAGGCAGTGCAGCCAGTGCCTGCCAGGAGGTGGGAGCTGCGGCCAAACCGTCTTGAGTGAGGCCAGCTACTGGTGACTTGGATGAGTGTAAGCTCTCAGCCTCTCAGCACAGTGCCCCTCTCTTCACCTCTTTGTCCCAAATCCTTTTCCTGGCAGAGCTGGCAAAGAAATGAGTCATTGATAGGTTTGAACTTGGTTCTCAAGAGTCTGGGCTATGTCCTTCCCAGCTGCCAGCTCCCCATCTATACACTGGAGGGTATGCACACTCATGCCAGGCTCCCTGTCTACACACTGGAGGGTATGTGTGGGCAGGCATGCATTCACCCACTTGGGGAGTGATGCTGTCACCATCAGGATATTCAGGAGGAACCCACTGTGTGCCAGCCCCCAGATCTAAGGGCTGTGGCCAGAGCCCTTGACAAAACAGGCTATGTCCTTGTTTTCATGGGGCTTACAAGGAGGAGCATAAATGAATTAAATCAGTACTACATCTGCAAGGATGCTCTGAAGGAGACACAGCAGGAAATAAAAGCACAGGCAAGTGGGGACACGAAAAGTTTGCTATGTTGTGTGAAGTTTGTCAGGGAAGGCCTCTCAGGGACAGGGACATTTGAGCAGAGAAAGGAGGGAGAGTTACAGGTGACTAGGGGAAGATAGTCAAGAGGAAAGCAAGGGCAAAAGCCTTGGGGTGTGTTCGCCACAGAACCTGTGGGAGGACAGTCAGCCACAGGGCGGACAAGGACAAACTGTCCCCGCACACATGTGTGCGTGTGGTCATCCATGTCCACACCAGACGAGCCTGAAGAGTCTCCAGAAACTGAAAGAAGAAGTAGAGCCCTTTCTGCGCCCTCCCTGCCCCCTGCCGCCCTAACCGCGGCAAAAGCGACTTCCTCTTTCCAGCGCTTTTAAGGCCCAGCCCCGACGCGCACCGGACAAGTTGGGGCCGCGCCGCCTTCCAGCCATGGGGGACAGCTTCATCCGCCACATCGCCCTCCTGGGCTTTGAGAAACGCTTCGTTCCCAGCCAGCACTACGTGAGTAGCCCGGGGCGCCGTGCAGGAGCGCGGGCTGGGCGCAGCGGGGCGGCGCAGCCACCTGGCACGTGGAGGGCTCAGGAGGCGGGGTCCTGGGACCCCGTGGGGTCCCTCCGGATCCACAGTGGATGCGATCCCCTGACACCCAGAGGTGTGTGCAGCCCCGCCCTGGGGAGACAACTGGCCTCAGACACCCCTGGCCCTAGCCCTGGCCCTGCCAGCACGCGTCCCCCGCCCGCCTCGCCTCACCCTCGGCCGCCAGCCCCAGCCAGGAATCTCCTTGCTTGCCTGCCACAGCCCTGCAGCGCAGCCCTCATGTCCACGGCCCGCTCCTCCCAGTAGCCCTCCCTGACTGGCTCAGCTACCACTCCTGAAAGGGAGTGGCCTTGACCTGGCCGCTGGAGTTCTCTGTCCGCCAACCTCTTGTGCCATCAGCTGCATTAGGGTCTTACTCCTCTGACACCGCAACAGGGGCCAAAAAAGTCCTCCCTCCTGCACTGGGGGTCAGGAGAAATAAATACCTGCTGGACACGACCAGCCCCTCACCGGGTCCCCCAGCCCAGAGGAAGACCAGGGAGGAACTCCACTTAGTAAATTGTATGGCACCTGTATGGAGCATTTAGTCCTATGAGCCAAGACTTTTGTTCTTTCTAACTTTTTTTTGGTTGTATTTGAGATGGGTTCTTACTCTATCACCCAGGCTGAAGCTCAGCGGTGTCATCATAGCTCATTGCAACCTTGAACTCCTGGGCTCAAGCAATCCACTTGTTTCAGCCTCCCAAGTAGCTGGGACTACAGGCATATGCCAGGCTAATTTTTTTTTTTTTTTTTTGCGACAGGCCTCACTCTGTGCCCTGGGTAAAGTGCAGTGGCATTATAGCTCACAACAACCTGAACTCTTGGGCTCAAATGACCCTCTTGCCTTAGCCTCCTGAGTAGTTTTTTGATTTTTTACTCTAATTTTAGAGATGGGGGTCTCACTATATTGCCCAGGCTGGTCTTGAACTCCTGGGCTCAAGTGATTCTCTTGACTCAGCCTCTCAAAGCACTAGGAATACATACATGCAGACATGAGCCACCATGTCTGGCCTGTAACTTTCACTTTTGAAATAATTTCAAATTTACAGAAAGTTGCACAAAGTGTACCAATAGCTCCAGTATTTCTTCACACCTCTTTTTCTTTCTTTCTCTCTCTCTCCGAAAATAAATTTTCAGAATCACTTGAGAGTAAGTTGGAAATACCCTAGGTAGTGTGTATTTTTTTAAATCAAGGACGTTCTCTTCCATAACAAAAATGGGTATGTGTCAAAATCAGGAATTAACATTGATAGAACACTATTATCCAACGCTCAAACTTGATTCAGATTTCCCCAATTATCCTACTTGGCCTCTGTAAGTAAAAACTCTTTTCAAGTCCGGGATCAATTCGTTGTCACATCCTTTAGATCCTTTAGCTTCTTTCATCTAGATCAGTCTTAGTCTTTGTCTTTTAATACTTTGGCTTTTTTTTTTTTTTTT